TTTTATTATCTATATCATATTTCGTAAACCTTTAACGAATTTTTATTAACAAACACAACGGTTTCAAATCTACAAGTGGCAACACTGTAAAGGGAAAAAAATTTTTATCTCCAGCGCGCGAGATTGTGTATCGGAAATTCTAAAATTATGCTGTTTTTAAATATTGCTGTTGAATTGAATTTTGTGTGTTTTAAGTGCGAAAAACATGATATCTAATAAATAAAGAAAACATACAAAATATTTTTAAAAAACGCTCTTTTGGGGGTAATATATAATCCGAAAGCTATCAGATTTTTTTCCCTGCGTAAAATAGTTTGTAAAAATATTCTCTTACCTCTCATATAAAAAAGAAACAAGAAAAGAATGTGAAATAATAAAAATAAAATAATAAATAGTGTAAATCCATCAAATGTATCAAGTTTAATTGTTATTCATACATACCATAGAGAAACATGCATATGTGCCACCCATATTCTAAAATAAGACTTTTGTCATATCCATCTTTTTAAGCAAATACGAATCCACTACACATACATTACAACTGTCCATAAAGGGTTAAAGTTAAGTTTTCATTATTGAAGCCAATATATGTTTTATTAGTCGTTTAAAATTTTTTAGATATAATATTTACTAAGTATACCGAGTGCACTGCATTTCAAGAAGCATTTTAACAGCTATAATGTAAAAGTAAATGTTGGAATAGAAAACTTTAGGATTGCTTTGACTTGCAAGCTAGTAATTTTAATACACATTTGTGCAAGAGATAAAAGCAAAATCTTTATAAATAATTTTTGAACTGCAGACATTTTGTTTCAGCTTGATTAATTAAAGAAAGAAAATTATTTTTTTAAGACTGTAAATACTACAAAGCTTAAAGGAGATATAAATACATTGTGTTAGAAAGGCTAAAATAGACATACCCCCTAGAATTAATACGGCTCTGTAAACAATGTAACGCTTAGTTTAGGAATAGAACATTCCAATTTTCAAAGTCCACGAGCCTCGGAAAAGATTCAAAATTCGAAAATTCGAATCCTGACGCAAATTCAAGAATTTGAATTAATTACTTCCTTTATTAAATTGCATTTGCATCTCCTTAAAAATAAAGATGTATTTTTATTTTAGATTAAGAGTGCATTTCAAGTTTTCCTTTTAATTAAAAACGTTTAATATTAATGAAAAGGTTTTTTCTTATCATTCTTGATGAATGATTTGAAAGATTCGAGAACCTTTTAGGCTTCGGATTTGTATTTGAAAAAGTTAAAGATTGTCCTATCATTAATACAATTTATAGGCCGCATCTTAATAAAATATGTGGTATTAAATTTTATGCCTAACATCATGAATAACATTTTTAGTTTCGAAATGTTATTTATTTTTGTAATTTAAAGAGTTATAAAGATAAAAGGCTGTACTTAAAAAAAATTAAGGCACTCTTCTTTCTCATATAAAACTACTTCTAATACGTTTTCTTTTGGCGTAACGTGGGTATTACGTCCATCCATCGACTCAAGGGTTTCGCTTTCGTTTGGCATGGTCTATTTTTCTATGATATTTCTCTCAAAGCATATCTTTTTACATATATTCTTACTGTGCATCATAATATTAAATGCCATTAACTCTTAACAATAATTCGGGCACCACAAACACGGTGCTCCTCGGTATTGCAACTTGTACAAACCATAAAATCAACCTCTGGAAGTTCACGTCTGTTTGTGCGCGATCAATTAATCAAACACCATTTAGTGCCGTGGAAAATATCCTGGTGTATGCATAAAGCAAAATTGAAAAGAAAATAGGAAAAATACCTGTTATGTTTAGCTTTAGCAATAAAAAAAAAGAGATTTCTAAGAGTTTGGTAAGTAAAATTTAAGTTTAAATGTTTTGAGCTGAAATTAGAATAACGTATAATTATTAAATGAATTTTAAATAATTTTTTCTTCACTTCTCAGACTTAAACTGAAAACCTAGTTTGTTTTCTTTTAAAAAACGCTTAATATACAAAAACAAATTTTCATTATTCCAAAGTTAATAAAAATCGGCATAAAATAGCCAAATATATTATTCCAACTCAAAAATTGGTTTCTAGGTTTTCATTCATGTTTTCATTATTCTACAAAATACATTCCTTCACAAATAAAGGAAAAATGTGGCAAAGATTTAATTGTTTTACAGCAGGGATGCTGCTTTTCAAATTAAAATTTAATTATTTTATTACTTTTGTAATTTATGCTGATGAATTATTTTCGTAATAGAAACAGTCAGTAAGAAAGAAATAGAAAACTGGTGTAAAAGATTTACTGATAGACAGTCATATCGATTGCTGTGGAAGCAGGTTTTATTACAAGAAACATGATATACTCTTTGAGGCTAGAAAAAGACGATCTGACATCACAAGTTCAAAAGGCAGATACCTCACCAGATACATTATCAAAAGAGAAGTTGCATTCTAGAATTAAGAAACAATACTTCAAAGATAGTATAGACAGCTGTAATATCGTTTTTAACGAGTGGAAATATTATTGTCCTTTTTCTACATATTTCCATGTTTTTTAGACACTGCAGCTTATTGTTCCTCCTCTGATGCATACATTTCTTGATTCTCAAACATAGCACTATTCCATGTTTGACTACATGTATTGTGGGCTACTTAGCTTGATTATTTTCCTTAGGACTCTAATTTCTCTATTAATAATCTATTCTGTCGCGTAGCTGTCCACAATAACTTCAGACTCTTTACTTAGATAAAACTCCAAAAAACACTGATTAGTAATTTACCATAAGCCATAAAGCTATGATAATAAGAACGATAATAATGATAACAAATAAATTAACATTTAAAACGATTAGAATAATAATTAGTTCATGTGCTAATTTATTTTAATATCCGCCATTTTCTTCGCTACCTGAGTATAGCATGAAAAGTAATTTTGTTTTAGATTTCCATCCTGATAAGATGTTGTAAGTTGAAAATACCCCGAATCGAAGACATATCTAATACACTTGCTTCTACGAAATATCATACATACGCCATACCTTAAATATCGTGAAGACTTACCTCAATTCGCAGTTCAGCTAAATCTTTTAACATAAAACTATTTTGTAATAAAATTTTGAATATCTCAAGCAAATCACTGAATTTTGTACAGAAATTGTAAAATAATATATATAACTTGTACTCACCACTAGTGCAGAAGCTGAAAACGCACTGGAGCTAAATTTTGGAGGATGAGGATGCTATAGTAAACGTGAATATCGACTTCGCTTTTTTCTTCTGATGATGCGGTATAACTGGCAGAGATATAGTCACTTGTTAGAGAAATTAAAAGTTGTAACTAGATAATTTGATTCTTCTTTGTTCTTAAGTATTTCTGTATGAAAACAGGAGTTCTTACTCCTGTTTAACTCCTGTCCTGGAGGAAAACTTATCTGCAAACCCTCTGCAATGTAATTCGTTTATCGCATCTGCGTATATTTTAACCCCGAAGTAAATCAAAATTCAGTTCTGGAATTAGAGTTTCTACTGCCTGTATAGTAGTTTTGATACATTTTATAATGTATTATTTTATAATCGGTTTTATAACCGAAAAGTTATAAAGCAAGCTATATTTAATAAGAAAACTATTCACAGGTGCGATAATTTGGAGGAAGCTTTTTATTTTTTCTCACTAAATTGTAAACAAAACAGCTATGTAAAAGGATTTTCTGTGCAACAAGAATAAAGGAATTTATTTTCACAAATGTATTCACTTTTGCATGGTTACAGATTACTCTGGTCAATAAGTTGCTATGTACTTTTTTTATATATTTTTGTACCCCTTTATACATTTTATTGGTATTGTTAAGTTTATTCCTGTTCCCCCTTTTTTTTAATAAGCTTAGAGATTACTCTGGTAAATAAGTTGCTATGTACTTCTTTTTCATTTACGTATCATACATTTACACGTTTTATTGGTATAGTTAAATTTTTTCCTGTTCCTCCATTTGTTTTAATAAGCTTGGAGATGAAAATATTTGTTTTGTGAAAAGAGCGAAAAAGAATTTTATGCTTCATTTCGCAGATATAAATATCAATTTTTTCAGTAAGACATGCATGCACCTTTATCTCCTAATGTTAGCAAAATATTTGCGTAGTTAAGGACATCTAAGTATCGTTAAATATGTTCAAATTAAACCTGGATACAAATGCAAATATCTTGTTCTACTCTATGAAGTAAATAATGGAACTGGGCAAACAAATTATAAACGGAATTTCATTCAAATGAATAAAAATAGGTTCTGAAACAAGTCAGGATCGGCTTTCCTCATTAGGTAGACATATTTGGTCTCATTTCTGCAGCTGAATGTTCATTAGCTTCAAAAGAACCGGATTAAGTTGATACGTACGTTTACTTTTTATTTGATTTAACATATTTTAGAAAAAATTTACATTTCACTGAAATATTATCTCACTCCAGCGAGGGAATCCTGTCTTAACAATGAGCAGAAATTTCGGACACAATAACCATTCCATTATAGAGAAAATAATTTTCTACAAAGCAAATCTTCGTAGAAAAGATCTTTAAACTAATAAAACTTAATGAAGCTTTTTAAAATTTATTATACAATATTTTTAAATCGCGTAATTTAAAATTACAGATAATGAAAATAAAACTCTTCTGTTCTAACGGTAACTTTTAGCAACTTAAGAATATTCTTCAGTCAAACGAGTATCGACCAATAAAATGGAACTAGAGTGAATGCCAGTTAGCAAAATCTGAAATCTAGAGAAAAAATAATAACTTAAGCTTTAAAATGCTTTTAAAGTATTTTTATTTAACTTCATATTGTTTTTTCATCTGAGAAACACTAAACAGGATACTTTTCTGGATTTTAATATTTTATTACTCAAAAATGGCGATGTGATTGGGTTGACTTTTCGATCCTCCCTGTAAATATTCTTGGAATGCACTTCGATCTGACATCACAATATATAAAAAGCCTGCAACTGAATTTTCCGAACTGCCATCATGTTCTGCTTCTACTTACTGCTGCTTCTTTCACTTACCCGCGTGCAGTCTAAAAGTAAGTTATACCCTTTACTAAACAATAACTCTTAATCTATTGAATTTCCAAAAAAAAATATTGTTCTGTAAACATCATCAAAGAGAAAATTAAATAACAGTTTCCTTTAATTTGGAGATGATATCCAAAAAAGACTGCAAATTATTATTGAAAATATTGCTTGATTTATGACGCAGAGTAGAGGAAACTTCAGAAACTTTACGCTTTTATTCATGAAACATTCGATAACTTCATTTAAATACATGCAATTTTTAAACACTTCTATATTATCTGAAAGATAGATTTTACTGCACAACAGATGTCTTCATTTACATATAGGAAACAATCTATCTTTGCCTCTTTCAAAATAGAAAGACTTATATACATCGAAATAGTGTGTTGAAAATAGATTAATTTACTATTAACAGGCTTGACAAATAATTCTCTGTTTTAGGCTGTATTATTTTCATTCCTTTCAACTTTAATTTTAAAGCATTTGTTTTCAAATAGAATTACAAAACAATGAATGAATCTCTAGTAATTAGATTTATCTTTTCTTATCTCTGTTAATAGTTAAAGCTTAGCAGAGTAATTAGTTTATTTGGGAGAAGGAAACAATGTTCAATGTTTATTTCGAAGCAAGAATCTTGGAGAGCGTACTGCACAACCCAAAAATGCGCAGTGCTCTGGCCGAGATTCAAACTTCGAATCTACGAGTGCCAACCGGACGTGTTTCCAGTCACACTACGAAGGCACTCCGTAAAGAGGAAGAAAATGAGATTTCTATTAGTTAAGTTTAATAATTACCGTATTTGCCGGCGTATAAGACGCACTTTTTTTCTTTGAAAATAGGTCTGAAAAACGGGGTGCGTCTTATATGGCGATACTTATTGCGTCGATACGTCATTTGTGAATGGGGTCAAAGCTTCATTGGATGCTTTCAAAACAGAGACAGTGGTTAAATCATTTAAGAAGTGTGGCATTAGTAATGCACTGGATGGTACAGAAGACAATTTGTTGTATGGGGACTCAGATGCTGATTTAGAAGAGGTTTCAAATGACTCTTCACTTAGCTCTGAATATGAGTGTCTGTTTTTTGACGAAGGAGATCAAAAGGTGTTCTTTTCCAGATAGATTGGGTATTTGTAGACGTTATTACTTTGTATTTGTATTACTTTATGTTTAAAATGCTGTAAATTCATTATAATGATCAGTAATAAAGCTTTATCCTTCAAAAATGTGTACAAAAAAGGAGGTGCGTTTATACAACGGCAAATACGGTAATTTTCATTGAACATTTCAATTTGCTAATAAGAAACAATTCTCAAACTTTCTTTTTTAAAGGTTATTTTGAAATAGGCAAAAGTTTAATACATTTTGGGACAGGAGATACATAATCTCCCTTTTTCAGGAGCAAACTGTTACGCTCAAGCACGTTATTTGTGTAATCTATGATAAATTTAATGTATCACATACTAAATAGAAAAATAGAAGGTAAACGTGATAAAATAACCATAATATTAAATTCATAGCACATTATGCATTTAAAGCTTATCAAAATAAGGTACTTAAAAAGGATAATTTTCTGTTGGGCAGAGACTAAGTTTCGAGGAATCCGCAAATTACTGTTGTTTCCATCTTTTCCATATGTTCGGTCTGAGGTTCGAATCCCGCGAACGGGCTGGCTGCATGGGCGTTTTCGTGGTTTTCCCCATGTGTAACGTGTATACGAGCCAGTTTCCCTTAGAAAGTCCTCCACGAAAGGCATCCCTCCCTTTAGGCAGATAGCCCTCGTGTGCTTTGCCATAATTAAATACACCAAACACCAATCTTTTCCATATGACCTTAAATAGTATAAGTCTTATATTATACATAAATGATGCTGCTAATAATTAGAAGTTAATTGGTTTATGCATCGATATAGGCATATCTATAAATTTCATTCGTATCTAATAAACAGAAAATTTTACGAGTTATAACTGAGATTTATGAATAAACGTAGCTGTAAAGCATTATAGAAATTTATCACAGAAACAAGGTATCACAGGGTTCATAGCCATATTTTAGTTAAAAAAATAAGCACTTTTCAAGCACATTTTAAGGAAAAAATAAGCACCTGTCTAATTACATTATACACAAGTGCATAAACTTAAAAGAAAAATTAGACTTGTAATTTAAAATATGAGCAATGCAATATTTATTAAGAGAATGAGCATTACCTCAACAATGGAAAACAATTAACTTTTTTTTTTTTAATTTTAAATTACAGTTCAATTTACAGAATTAGTTTACAATGAGAGGAAAAGAAACTATGCAGAACTAAACTATATTACAAGATTTAATGATGATATTTCCGTTGAAAATATAGAAAATAAATAATAATAAGCCATATTAATTGGATTCGTTTGGCACCTAATAATAAATACAATTATTTTTTCCACTTATATTAAATATTAAATAATTTTAACTTAATGAAAATTCTGAACATTTCTAAATTTTCATTGCATAACAGTTTTCCCTTAACATATATTCCAAGCGAAGTAATTTATGTAAAAAAGAGGCACATTTCTGAAATCAGAAGACGGGAAATTGCTTCATTCAGTCATCCTTTAACAGTAAAAGCTTAACTAACCCGCATACTCGGAAATTCCCGAATATTCCGGATAGTAACTGGAAAAAGAGGAGTGGGGGAGATTGTAGCCGTTCTTTAGATTTAAATTTAGGCTAAATAAATGATTTTGACGTTTCGATATGTGCATCATATAAAAATAGACCAACGGAACTGAGAAATATTCTGCTTAGAAAGTACAGTAAAACTCATTTAAGTGTTCATAAACAAATCTCAGACTGAACGTCAAAATTAATTATCTCTGCAAAATACCGCAAACGTTATTGCGCAATACGTGCGCCGTAATTCTTCCATATGTGATATTACGCAATCGGAATCAACACCTGCCGGTATTTGGAGAATAAAGAACTAAATAAAGAAAAAGAAAAAGACTTTAATTTTCAACAGTAGTATTAAATTTCCGGAATAGAATCAATCTTCGCTTGGGTTGGGTAGACCGCAAAAACTTTTAGTCGTATTCAATCCAGATTGGACAGTGACAAAAAAAAGTCCACTGCTTCAATATCAGAGATTTTGCGGAGAAACTCCCAACCTCCGTACTGTATAATGTATTAGCAAAGAAAATGAAATTATTTTGACTATTCGATTACTTTCCTTTTATTTAAGCCATTCCGAATATTATTCCTTAGAAAGCTAATCTGTGTAAAAACACACCCATTTTTGGAAATTTATCTATACTTCAGCAGTTACTGCAACTAATTTATTATAAATATTCATACATATGCTCATATTATAAGCATAACGATCATAATAAACACGAATATGAACTGACCACGCGGAACGAGAATGCAAATTATTAAAATCTTGAAGAAATTCAAACGTGTGTAGTATTTGGGTGGGAGGAAAAGAATACCGAATGTACCGGAATTTTCTACCGTTTTCGCAATTCTTTGGCCAATAGAACGACGTGCACCTCTCTGTACTCTCGCTCGCACCATAGATTACGTTAATGCAGAGGATGGGGGAATAGCAATTTCCGGGAGTATGATTCACCATCTGACGTTGCATATAAGGAAGAAAAGTTGTTTATTTAGTTTCGGCTTTGGTACGGGAAAGCGTTCATTAAAAACAAAGGATTAAAAAAAAAGCACTAAAAGCAAAAAAATACGGGCTTTAAAGAAAAAGTAAGCACCTACCTATAAGGGCCTTTATATTTTATTTTCAAATATAAGGACTAATAAGCACTTGTAAGGACCGCTACGAACCCTGTATCATGAAGCAATCCACTTTCTCCTTATTATTCCGAATACTGAGATTTTTAAGTAATTTTCATGCGTAATTTTTTTTTCGAAATAATCATAAAAATCAAGTTAATATTCACACTTTTATAGGGTTGGTCATTGCCTAAAAATTATTTAAATAAATAACCCTCTCTTTATTTATTTAATTATTCTCTCTTTTGACGCAGTTCAATATAGTGAATACAAAGACGGGCAGTCAATAAAGAAAAATGTAAAACTACTTTATAAATAATTCTTTTTTCTAATTAATTTTTTAATATAATTAATAACATACATTAGAATACCATATTTCATGTATTTATATAACACATATATTTTTTTTTCTTTTTCCTTTCCCATTAAGATATTGTAACAATGTAAAAACACACTGAATAAAAATGTGTCAGAGTCAAACATAAAATTAGCAAAAAATCTTGCGATTAATATTTGTTTTATAAAAGAGCATTTTCTTGAACGAATCCTCTTAAAAAAAAAGTTTTCTGTGGTTTACCTCAAAGTCAATAAAATTTTCTAAAACTTATTTTAATATAAGGTTTTTTTTTTCTTTGTGCAACTTTATATTATAAAAATAATTCAGTGTAATGAAACATTGTGTGAAATGTTATTTACAAGTTATGATACTAATAAGTAATTCAATTTTTTTCTTCATTTAAAATCATTTTATGTCATCGTCCCTCTTCAGAAATACGACAGAAATTATTTCATAATTGTATTAAAAAAAGTAAAATTACTAAACATTCACTTTGATAATAATATTCATCACAAAGTATTCACCAAATGAAATAACTATAAAGGAGTAAGTACTACATCAGATTTAACTCGCTTGATTTTTATCTACTGAATTAATCAAGACAAAGCATAAAAATAATTATACAGTAAAGATGTTACATAATTAGTAGTAAAGATGTTACATAATAAGCCAATGATAATTCGTAAAAGTTCAGTAAAAAACTTTAGCCAGCACATAAGCAAAGACAACCAACCCGCTCAATCAGCACGTGAATGTATGCAAAGACAATAGAAAGAATGTGTGCAAATATAAAAGGATATCGGTAGATTTAAAGTGTTTCAGGTGCCACCCAACCGGGAAAGTGGTTAGTCATACCGAAGGGCCCGGGTTCGAATCCCGGAGAATGCATGGGTAAATGTAT